GCCCCGCCCCCGCGCGGCGGCCCCGGGGCGGGGACCCGGACGTCTTCCGTTCCCGCGCGGGGGAGACCCGCGAGTGCCGCTTCCCCTAGTGCCCCAGAAGACGACGGCAGCCGCTGCCACTTCTCGGGGCGGCACCTCCTCCACCTTCGCTACGTCCCCGGCGGGGGACACCCCTAGGCAGGCCCAGCGCGGGAACCGGCTGGGGAAGGGTCCTGCAGCGCTAGCTGAGACCCTGAAACCCCAGAGGATCCAGGAACCCGAAATGCTCGTGATTCTCATGCACCAGGTTGTTGTAAGAGTGGTAGCAAAACTGCTTCGTTGTTTGGACAAAAATGGCAAACCAGGAGGAAAACTTCCACGAGTTACCTGTCACTCTCCACGTCCCAGTGGGTCCCAGAATGAGCAGACCAGAGCTCAGTCCACTTCCCACCCCCAAGCCAGAAACCGCAGGTGGTGTCTAGGTTTTCTATAACAGGTACACTTCGGCCACAAACTTGACATCCACCTGGCTAGTTTAACAGTGCAGCTGAGGTGGCCTCTGAGCCAACTTGCAGCACTAACCACAGCTCTCTGCATCTGCAGCTCATAGAGAATGCTCTGGAAGGGCTGTTCCCTGTGCATTCAATGAACTGGGACGAACTGGGAGCAGGTACTCTACACACACCCACCCTGAGACCTGCGAGGGAAAGCCCAGTAGTGGGCCACAGCCTCTGGGGCCTCCATTGTTCCTCAGAAAAGGGGTATAGTCATGGGAACTGCTGTTGTTGGTGAGCTCACCACTGCTGTGGACATGGGCTTGCACTGTGGGAGAGGGTCCTGCCTCCCAGTGATGCATCAAAGGGCTGCAGGGGTGGAGACCTCCGAGGAGGGGCTCTTGGAGTTGGGGAGGCTTCCAAGGGGAGGCGGAGCCCATAATGAGTGTACGGGAGCAGCAATCATTCAATAAATACATGCTGATTTATTTATAGGGAGATGTTTCTTTTGGGGATAAATTCATGAAGAGGTGTGAACATTTTATTAATTTGCAGCGTTCCTTCCCTGGCAGGCAGGGCAGCAAGTTGTAGGACAAATTAAAGTCATCCCCTATTTAAGATGAAAAAGGTTACCCCCTTGCAGTTCACAGCAGGGGTAGAATTTAGCAAAACAAAAAAGTCCTCAGTGATCTCTAATGGTTTCTGAATATATTGGCACGGGAAGGATTTTCCACTGGGTTAGGAGGAAGGCGCAACTTCTGCGTTACGCTGGGTAGGCAGAACGGAGCCTGTGCAGCCTCTTAGCCCACTGACGCCAAGATGATGTCCACCGGCAGCTCCTCCGAACTTCTGGCCGTCACCTGCATTGTTACTGCGTCCAATAGCAGCAACCGGGAGCGCACCAGGATGTCGTGGCCACCCCGGAACACACCTAGAAGCAAAGCACAGGTGTGTAAGGCGAGGGGCGGCAGAAGTTGAGGGTGGAGTGTGCAGCACTGATGACGACAGCTCAGGTGTTTGAAGGGCAGTGGGCCTGACACCGGGGCAGCTGGGCTCGATCCCTGGGTGAGGTCGTGTGCGGGACACTTGCCCTCAGCTGCAGCACCATCGCAGGAGAAGAAATACACTAACATACTTCAACGTTCTGCCAAGCTTAACTGAACTAGTGGACACAGAAGGCTTGCGCCTGACAGGTCGGGGCTCTCACACGCTGGCTGACGCCGAAAGCGCAGCCACCACGGCCCCACCACGGCAAAACCGCAGAGCAGGTGTCTGCAAGACCCAGGGGACCGGGCCACCTCAGTGTGGCCAGAAATGATGGATTTGTGGGCTGTCAGCTATGAGCAATCACTGAGGCAGAGCTAAACTCTGTTTATAAATATGCAGCAAGAAGAAAGAACCCTCATCTTTCAGTTGGTTCATGGTTTCTGCTGTGATAATTGTTTATTACAAACCACCCCCTACCCCCGGTCAAACAAAGGCTGATTACCTCTTAGAGGAATATACAGTTACAGAAAATTGTATGTAAAATGTATCTGGGCTTCTGGGATAGATGGGAACAGATATTAGTTGTGGGCAGTAGAAGGGGAGTGTGGGTTCATTCTGGCAGTCAGTTTTTGCATACTACTATTAGAAGTTAATAGGAAATGCCATTTTTATTAGAAAAGACCAACCAGGTTAGAAGAGATGAAAACAATTCAGAGAAGGAAACAGAAATGGCCAAGAACCTATCAACTGTGCTAAGAGAGGACTTCTGGTCCGCGTGTGGGAGCGCTCACTGTCACGGAATAAATGCTGTAGGTGCTCTGCTGTGGGAGAATGCGGCAGTGAGCCGGTCTGTGAAACAAGGCACCTGCATACGGTGGGCTATGAATGAGGCGGCTAAAAAGAGAATGAAGATCAGTTAATGAAGATTGTTTGCGATGATTACAACGTTCGACGGGTTGACGGTAAGGGTTGGAGGACCCTGTGAAGATACTTAAAACCACTGAACTTACACCTACAAGTGGTTAAAATTTACCACAATTAAAAAGTAAAAGGGAGGGAGGAAGCTCTACCAATTATTAGGGAAGATCTCCAAGAATAAGTGAAGTCAAGCAAAAAGGAAAGTGCAGACAGCTGCACCCAGACATGGGAGCGCAGGTCCCTCTTGGAGGCGCAGGCGTTAAAGCTCCACAGGTGGAGAGGTCCGCAGCCACTGCAGCACCGAGGTCCATCCCCGGCAGGGAGGGTCCCCCATGGCGCACAGACCTCTGTCTCTCCACTGCTCCCCTCAGTGTATTTCAGTAGATCCATCTGTTCTGCTCCCCACTGTCTCTGGTGAACCTTCTCAACTCCTGAGCCTCTGGCCTGTATCCCAGGCCTTATATGCATAAACCAATAAATCTTAAAAAAGAAAAGGAAATGTGTATATATCCACAAGACCACTGGCAGCCTACTCTGGCATAATCTGTAAGAGTAACACTGGCAAAAGGGACCCAGAGGGCTGAGCAGTCACAAAGCCTATGAGACCGACCTTGCACTGCAATATTTTGTACCTAAACTCTGAAAGCCTGTGTGCTCCCAGGAGCCCTCAGCCCAGAACGCAATGGTATGCAGGTGACAGGCTACCCAGGCCCTTCCCACCAGGGATGCTGCTTACCAGCCAGGAGCAAGGTGTGGGTGTTCTTGTTATCTGGCACTTTGTCCGACCTCTCACAGGGGTGCATTCCCAGGAACTTCACAATATTGCCCACGGCCTCTGCAGGCAGAAACCCCAGCACAATTCACCCTTGTCTTCACTTTGTGCCAGCCCCTTCCCCCGGCCCCAGCCCCTCACCCCTACCCTGTCTGGGAAGGCTTTTAATGAAGAGGCACCTGACATATGTTCTCTAGATAACGGCCCTGGATGCTTGTGGGCCGAGGGCAGGAAGGGGCAAAGGGGATAAGAGGCCAATCGTAGGCTGGAAATGGCATCCCTGGACTTTACCTTCAAGTGTCTTGATGGTAGACAAAGTGAATGTTTCCTCTTTCTCGAACTCATCTCCGACCTCATCCCAGGCGGCCTCGAAGTTCACCTTCATGACCTTTTGGATGTGATCAGCTACGGTGACTTCCAGATCTTCCAGCTGGGGGAGGACAGGGAAATTAGACACAGGCCTCCAGGAGATTCCCGGCTCTGAACTCGCCGAGCAGGAAGGCCTGCACACTCAGCAGTGCGCTAGGCACGGAGCAGTAAGTGAGGCTCAGAGGACATGGTACGCGACTGGCACCTTGTCCTTAAAGTGCTCAAAGCCCAGTTGTATCCCTTAAGCAGAAAACACCTTGGCTCAAGCATTCACCTCAAGGTGTCACCTGCAGGGTCGCCTCCTTCTGAAGCCTGCCTGGAGCCAGTGCCTCAAGGGCCCGGGGTCGTGCGGGAGCCTCCTATGACTGTCACTCTTAAGAGTCAGCAGATCCTCCCCTCTCAGTTGCTTCCTCCCTGAACTTGACACCTAATTGCCCTCCTCACCTGACACTAACTGTACACAGGCTCCCCATTTGTTGCCCCAACAGATCTTCACTGAGCCCCTCTTGTGGGTGTGTGAGGTGTCGAGAGGAGGACTCGTCTCCTACACCAGGAGTGCCTCAGACCCAGCTCGCCCAAGGCGCGCCCTTGGGCCCAGGGCAGTGCCTGCCCTCAAATTCATGGCTAGTTCAGGAAGGCCCATCCTCTACGCTGGCTATGAATGACACAACAGTTGTACACAACAGTGACTGTCCGTGTGGCGATGAGGAGCTCTAGCAATCTCAGGTCTGGACCGGCACTGTGGTCAGACCCCAGAAGACGCCTGCGGGAGGCTCTAGCCAAGCTGTGTGATGTGGGAAGTGAAGGGCTACTTCAGTGCATGATGTCAACAGACCGAGTGCCTAGCAAGCAGCTTGACAAACACGAGGGGGAAAGTCTTAAAATTAAGCTTGCCCTTTGGTCGAATTTCTCTGTTTCTAAGCTTCTATCCCAAGGCAGTAAACCTTGGGTGCCATGAAGGACAGATCAAAACTTACAGCATTTATGAACAGTGAAATCTGGAACTCCAAGTGTCTAACACTGGAGGAATCAAATGAGTTGAAACTCTGACGGTGTCATCTGAAGACTTTATGAAGGAGCTGCACCGACAGAGGAAAACTGTGTTTTTAGTGAGAGCAGCAAGATCTGCAAGGTCAGAATGATGTCAGTTACCCCCTCCTCCACTGACTTCGCAGGACGAGGGATGTTTTCCTATGACCCTTTGGTTTTGTATTTTGCACGTTTTCGTTTCACACCTGAGTGTGGTATTTTTTCAACTGAAAAAGAAAGTTTCTTTCAAAGAGAGCTATAAATTACAGCCAAAACCAGCAAGGAAAAGCTGCAAGTGTGGCTCCAGCTTCTGGGCGGGCTGCGCTGCAGTCTGTGTACAAAAGCAAGCCTCCTTGACGCCAACTTCTTACCACATATTCATCCTCATAGCCCTCCTCGTCGGTCTCGCCCGTGTTGGGGTCACAGTCCTTGACGGTGAACTTCATCACGCAGCTGAACGTGCAGGCCACTGCAGAGAAGGAGGCTCGGTGAAAAGCCGCCAGGGCAGGTGGCCAGCCCCTCTCTAGGCCTCTGCTCCGATGTCAGAGTGGAACGTGTTACCCACCAACCCCATGAATCTGGACTGAGGGTACCGCCTTGGAAAAGGCGCTGGAGGTAGCCGGTCCGAGAAGCCCCCTCACCCCTCACGGGGAGTAGTGACACTGAAGGGTAGCAGTAGTCACAGGCCACTGCCTGAGGCCCAGAAAAGGAAGCTGGTGGTTTCTGTGGGAGGGGTGGCTGGGGTATTCAGTACTTGGGCTTTTTCTTGGTTTAACGGCTAAACAGACCTGGGTCTGCCTCTAAAAAGTCGTATGAACTTAGGCAAGTCATTTAACCTCACCCAGTTTCCTCATTTAAGAATAGGGAAAGAAATATCACTTATCCCCACAGGTCTTCTATGCGGATGAAATTCTATTAATGACTAAGTCCAGGGGCTTCTTGTGCATTATCTTATTTGTAAGCCTGAAATCAGGTGTTGAAGTTTCAACAGAAGATAAACACTGGTGCACGAGCAGCCCCAACCCACTCTGACCCCATGGGCTCCCCAGGAGGTCTGGGTGGCCTCTGGAGAGGGGCTCACCAGTTGTGGGGTCTTCCTTGGGCAGTGCCACCAGAGTATAGCAGGTCCCAGGCTGGTTGTAGGGCAGGCTTCGGGCAGGCACGTGGCAGAGTACCTCGTAGGCCTCGGTGGGCTCCATCTGCACCGTGACGTTCTCCAAGGTCTGGTCATTGAGTGTGTTCGTGCAGTCAAACTGGACCGGGAGAGACGGGTTACTGAGAGACTGTTAGTAGGCCGAGCCCGGCTGCAGAAGAGCCAGGGAGTCCTACTTCTCCACCTGTGGGCCAGCTGACTCTCATCCCAGGCCCTCTCTCCCAAGCCCCCTGACTCCAAGCCGACACTCGAGAGCCACAGAGACATACCTGCTGATGGCAAGTCCTGTAATTTGGCTCATTTCAGGGGATACCATCACCCTCGAGGCCCCATCAGACCACTCCCTGGGCCCATCCCCCAGCAGGGCCTCAGCTCTCCAGCTCACCTGGAATACCATGTGGTCAGTGAAGGTGTGCTTGGTGCAGCGGATGACATACTCTGTCTCTGACTCAGTGAGGGCGACGGGCTCAGGCGAGGACTTGAAGAGGGGCCCCAGGCCTAGGAACTCCGGCACCGCTGCCAACTGTTCTAAAACCCACAGGACACACACGTTCACTCAGCCACTCAATTCCCAACCCGGCCTGTGATGGTTTCTAACGCACATGCCCAATTCTTCAGGTCTCTGGACCCCACCGAGATGGATGGCTATTTATTTAACTAACTGGTTTATTCACTGTTTCCTAAACATACTGCTGCATTTTCTCATCCCCCTCACTTTGCTCAAGTCGTACCACCCAATGGAAGATCTTAGAAGCAAGAAACTAGAGGACCCCAGGGTTCTAGGCCTAATCCATGTGGATCAGACTCAACTTTAGAAGCTCAGCAAGAATTCTTGAAAGAAAGGAGATTAGGAAAAGACTGAGCCAGTGAGATAAATCCTGTTCTAGCTATACACCGAGCCACAGAATAAACAACCCTATACTTTGATGAATTAAGACAAATGTCCAATAAAGAGATGCTTTGGACTCAGAGTGCTGGAAAACCCAACCTGAAATGACCCATGGGTGGCCGGCAAGGTCTATCTCACTACTCACAGCCAGCACCAGTGGCGGCTCTAGCCCCAGGCTGTGGCCCCCCCGCTGACTGGTCGTGGTGTTTCTTGCAGGTGAAGGAAGCGCCTGGCAGGTGTCTGCACATGCCTGAGGGCCACTACTGCTCTGCTCGCCTCTGTTCTATGGTAGGGGAAGGATTCCCCAAACTATGGTCCTGGGACCCAAGGGTCAGAATTACCCAGAGGTTAAAAGTGGAGATTGCTAGCCCCAGCCCAAAACTGCTCCATCAGAAGCTGTGGATCTGGGGCCAGAGAAGAGCAACTACAGAAGCTAAGGAGGCCGAGTCTGGTACTGAAAACCCCTGGGCACTGCCACTCACCCTGGAAGATCTCCTGCCTGGTGGCTGCCACCTTCTCAGGCTGCTTGGCTGCGGTGACAGGGGTGCTTTCTGAAGGAGCAAAAACACACAGTGACCAGCAGCCCCCGTGAAGAGCAGCACGCTCTTGACAGGTGCTGTGACCGAGGGGGTTATCTGTCCAGCCTTCCCGAGAGAATGAGACAGTGGCGAGCCTGGGAGAAAGCGAATGGGTGTTTGTGTGTGTGTTTCCGGGAGCCAGTGAAGAAAGTCGTACCCCTCCTCCCTCCGTATCCTGGCTAGGTTTAGTGACTTGGTAGTCCACAGACCCTCCAACACAGCCCTGGACCTTAGGGCCTTTGAAAGGAGTGCTGGTGTGACTTACCTGTTCTCTGCTCTGCCATGGGTGTGGTGGCCAGGGGCACAGACTTGAGGTCAAAAGGTTTTTCCGATGGTTCTAGGGTATACTGCTGCAGAGCCCTCTCCAAACCAGGGATGGACACTGTCAGACCTAGAGGCCAGTGGAGCAGAGGTCCCTGCCTGAAACACTTGGCAGACCGAAGCCAGAAGGCCCCCACTTCCCAATCCCGCCAACCCCCATGTTAGCCCTGGGGTCTAGTTGTAGCATGCAGAGGGAAAAAAATACCCACTGAACCCTCTGAGCCTCTGCTTTCTCATCTACGTCCTCCTTCACAGAACTGAACAGGACAAGAAATGCATGTCCAAGAGTGACTTACAAAGGGCAGCGTACCATGAAATTAGAAGTGATTATTAATGACTAGGGTTTTCATTCACAGGGCTGTTTGCACCCAAACAAGTATAACCCACTTGGTTGTCATGACCCTGGTCCTCCTGGGCCCACGGAATTCTGAAGTTGCCACCAAGGTCCAGCCCAGAGCATTTTGCTTCAAATTCCCCCTGCCCGGGAGGGTGTGTCTGCTCTAGAATGCAGAGAAGGCAGCCGGGTCACAGACTCACCATTTAGGATGTAGCCTGCATTGAGGGCCTTCTGTTTCTGCTCCAGGACATTGAGATAGAAGGTAGCCCGGTCCCGTACCTCATTGTCGTCGTCCATGACACACCTGCAGGCAGGATACAGGTACTGCTGACAGGGCCCCTAGGGGGTGGCAGGAGGGCAGGGCCTCAGCAGAGGTTGGAGAGAGGAAGCAAGTGTCTCATGGTTCCGAGAGCTCATCCCCAGAGTTGGTCTCCAATGCACAGAATTTAGTTAAGATGCAACAATCCCACTCCTGGGCATATCGGGAGGGAACTGTGAACCTGCCTTGTGAATGGGGAGCAGCTCTCACCAGTGCCAGGAAGGCAAGTGCCCATTAGCTGATGAGTAAACAAACTGTGATCTAGCCACACAGTGAAATACCACCGGCAATAAAAAGGCCGAAGTCCTGGTACGAGCTGCAGCGGGATGAGCCACAAAACCACCAGGAAGCAGCCAGGTGTGCACGGTGCCACGTGCTGGACGAATGTGTGTCCATGTCCAGAGCAGGCAAATCGGTTTCCCAGGGCCCGGGGGAGTTCTGTTGGTGCGGAGGAGGTCTGACTACTGAGGAACACAGGGTTTCGCTTGGGGTGATAAAGATGTTTTAAACAGATAATGGTGATGGCTGTGTAACTCTGTGGCTATGGAAACAACCCTGTACTGAACATTTTAAATGGGTCAACCATGTTCATCAACTACGTCTCAGCAAAGCTGTCTTTAAGACAAGAAAGCACCTTTCCCGTGGTTACCTCTGGGTAGAGCGATCTTTGCGTGATGCTTTTTTCATGTTTCCCTAGGCTCTTTTGTGCCTACAGTTCACAGTTACATAGTTTTTCTCCCCCTTTTCAGTTAAAGAGAAGCAAAGGAAAGTCGCTTGGTCCAAAGGCGCGCTGTCGCCCACGAGGGCCCACCGGCCTGGACTCACCTCTTCAGCAGCACCAGGATGCTGGGCAACATCTCCTCATTCTGGGCTCCAAACTTGGCCAGAGCACTCACCGCGCCTGCGTTTACGAAGCACAGAGCACTGAGCTGACCCACCTGCCGCTCACCAGTGTCCCCTCCCCGTGCTCAGACAGGGGCCTCAGGCTAAAGGGCCCTGAAGCCCAGCAGTCCCCAGCCGGCGGGCACAGACGGCCTCCTGTGGCGTGGGTGGGTCCTCGTTCCACCCCCGTCTAACCTCACTGGCTTCGTGAAGCCTCCGCTGAGACATCCAGAAGCCACTCACACATTAACTGCGATGAGCTGGCCGGAGCCAGCACAGCGCGGGGTTCATCAGCCTCTGGAGCCAAATGGCTTCGGTTCAGTTAAACTCGGTTAATGTAAGTGAAAAAACCAACCACTGCTTAAAGAGTATCAACCACCAAAAGAGGAAAGTCTACTGGCAGGGCCATGAGAAGAACAAACTGAAAACAGAATCATCTTCGGTTTAGCGTCACCTGACGTATGTGAATTACAGCCCAGGAAGCTCTTAATGAAAACAAGCTAAACACCCAGAGGAAGCCCAGCCGCAGCAACACCGAGGGAAGCAGCGAAACATCCATAAGAACCATGCAGACGCCGCCTGGGCCCTCTGCACGTGACGCCAGCACCGCGCTCGCGGGGACCCCAGGCGCCAGTGTCCCCACGGGCCCGGGCGCCTGTCGGGCGCGGCTGCTCGGGCGCCAGAGCCCAGTTCAGTCCTGGCTCGACCCACCTGCCCGGACCTCCTCGTGCTCCAAGACCACCCGGTTGTAGATGAAGCGAATGTACTTGGACGGGTTGTTGGTCCGCGGCCCCTCCTGGCCCAGCAGGTGCAGGATGCGTGTGGCCAGCACGGTGAACTCGCAGTCCTCGATGAATTCGCAGAGGTGGGACAGCCCCGTCTCCTTGCTCTCCGTGTTCTCCTCGATGATGCTGATGATGCAGTCCACGATGGCCCGCTTGTACTCAAAGCCGCCCTGTGGGTGGCGGAGGGTGGCTGAGCTGGGCAGGCGGCTCTCCCCACAAGTGAGTGGTAGGGCGCCACGCACAGCACAGCACCCCGAGGGCAGGGCCCTGGCTCCCTGGCCTCCATCTCGCGTGTGTATGCTCAGTGCCCCGGGGTTCTGGTAGTTCCAGCCGTAGACGGCCTCACAGAAACCCCGAGTGTCTTCCTTTGCTTCCCCACTGTGCGCTAAAAGGCGCAGGCAGTGGGTGGCACAGAGGTGATGGCAGTTCCTCAGAAACTAGAAACCAGAACCACCACGGGATCCGGCTCTGGCACTTCTGGGCGTGTGCCCCAGAGCGCTGAGGGCAGGGGCGCGAGGGAGCCCCTGTCCACAGGCTGTGGCCGCGGCACTGCGTGCGCAGTGTGGGCTCCTTCCCCGCCCAGGCCAAGGCCACTCCAGGCCGGGGCCCCAGCTCTTCAGGACCGTCTACCCCACGGACACTGCTTCTGTCATCTGAACGACCTGCTTAGATGCCCAAGAAAGGGGCACAAGTGAATCACTACTTCATGCTGGAATACGAAACAGAACCAAGGTCACGTGATCCGCATGAATTACAAGAAACTACCCCTGGAGCAGCCCGGAATATTCCCAAATTACAGCACAGGGCTCATCTCCCCAGCTTCTGCCTAAACAGTGCCCCGGGGCACCTGCTGTCCTTAAAGTCCCTGTGGTGAGTCATTATGACTATTACTGCAATTACTTGTAACTGGTGCGTGTTTATTCTGTCAGCTCATGAGCAGTTTAAAGGGCCCAGGAAATCTCTGCAGCTAACAGGACGATCTGAGTGTGCCTAAGAGGAGGTTTTTGGGTCAAAAGCTGAGCATGGAGCCAGCAGCCAGGTCACGTCCCACCCCGACATTTGGCATGACCCAAATGCCTACTCTTACCTCTTCCCGCAGCATGGAGAACAGGAAGTTCATCAGGACAGCATGTTTCCGTGGATATTTCTGACACAGGGCGCTGATGGCCTGGACGACCACCACCTGAGACAAGCAGACGCGGGAGCAGCGGCCCCCGCCACCAGGGTCAGCTCACTCAGGCTGCTAAGTGCTAGCACTGGCCTTCCTGCAGCCAGGCGATGCCCTGGACGTGACGTGAGCAAGGAACAGGAACTCTGCCCCGTCCTCGGGAGCACGCCTTCCTCGAGTCTACCCGGAGAGGGTGGCCTGCACGGACCTGAAGCCCGGTGACCTGAGATAAGCAGCCAGGGGTCTCAGTAACGACCTCCCTCCTCTCCTGCTTCCATGGCCCAGATGCCAGCCTCTCTCGCTGGGCCTCCAGTGAGCCAGCGCCTCACTCCACTCCATCCTGCGAGCTGTTCCAGGTCTTTCTAATATGCAAATCTTTCCCTTTCCCGAAACTCTAGTTTTTCGCAAGTACACAATAGATATTTAGGGAACTGGTCTAGAAGCTATTGTTCTTCTAGCAGTGCTGAGCACAAAGGCCCGGAGGCAGGACTGTGTGTGTCTCCCAAGGCCCTGTAGAGGGCGGCATGCCCAGTCCTCAGGAAAATCCCAAGCTGGGGCTGGGGACATAGAGAGCAGCAGAGCGAGTCTCCCTGACTCTGGGACTGGGTGTTTCAGAGGTGCCCAGATACCTTGAATTCATCCGAGATCTCTGACATGAAGGAGGATATCTGCTTCATGAGGCGGTCAATGCTGCTCTCACTGCCGGTCTTGAGCAGTGTGGTGATGGCCAGCGTGGCGATGCTGCGATTTGAATCTGTCACCAAGTTCTCCAGGTCCAGATTACAAGCAGTCACTGCGGATGGATGCTTCATAGCAACCTGTTTTGGAAGCACAGGGACGAGTGCTCATTTCCGGCTGGGTCTGGCCCAGCTCATGTCAGCACGCAGAGGAAAGCCACTGTGGCCACGGCTCCTGCTGGCTCAGGCAGAGCCCCGCCCCCCCACCTTAGCCCACCCACTAGACTCTTACCTTGTTGAGGGTGCGGACAGCAGCATAGCGGAGAGCGGCCTTGGGTGAGCTGCAGAAAAGCTGGAGCACTGTAGGGAGACAGGCGCCAGGCTGCCCTCACTGCTCGCCAGTGGGCCAATCCACCGAGGCCCCAGGGGCCGAGGGGCAGGAACAGGGCATCGAAGGCACGCCAGGGCGCTGAGCCTGCTCCGGCTCAAACCTTTGTTGAGTTCAAGTTGCAGCTGGCACCCTATCTGCAGCCCCATTTACAGACAAGGGAGTCTGAGGCAGTCAAGGTTCAGCACCTGACGTAGCTCTTAGGTTAGCAGACAGCAGCCAGCAGAACCAGGACTGAGGTGCCGGACCGCCTGCAGCTGAAGCCAGGGCTGCTGGCCCAAGGGGAAGCAAAACTCCACCCACACCGGGGCCCGTTCAGACAGCAGCAGGACGACCCCCAGCCTGGGCATTTGAGGAGTCAGGGTCAACAGCTCGCTGGAGTACCCACAATCCCCTCTTCAGACCCTGAGTTTTACTCCCTAATACTTCTTGAATGTTTGTCTTGTTTTCTTAAATAAGAGTGCATTCGTTTTGAAGGCTCTATCTCATGTATGTCTTTCATTATTTTGGAACTGTGAGCAACATAGTAAGAATGAACAAATACCCAGTCAGTCAATTACTTTATTGAGTTCTCAAAATTCTAGTCCTCAAAATTCTATTTCTTTTCTTTTTTTTTTTTTAAGATTTATTTATTTGTGCATACAGAATTGGGGTACAGGCCAGAGGCTCAGAACAGAACAGGCAGATCAATGAAGTACACTGCTGAGGGGAGCAGCAGGCGGGTCAGGAGAGGTCTGCCATGCCATGTGGTCACCTCCGGGGCAGTCGGGAATAGAACTCAAGGGGAAGTGGCTTTGGATTCTCAGTGCTGTGCTTTAACCTGCTGCGCCACCCGGGAGGGCCCGAAATTCTATTTCTAAGGAGAAAGGGAAACCTCTCTCTACACATGAATTTCATCTTTCTGCCTCCCCAGGTTTATAAGTTTATCAAAGAAATGAGTAGAGAAGGAGCAGGGCGCTCCCTGGTGGTGCAAGGGGTTAAAACACAACACTATGCAGCTATCTGCAGTGCAAGTTCGATCCCCGGGCAGGAAGCTGACCCACATGGCGCAGCAGACCTCTCCTGTCCTGCTTGCTGTCCCCTCAGCAGTGCACGTCAGTACCTCTGCCTGTTCTGCTCCCCACTCTGTCTCTGGTGCATCCTCTTGCCCCCCACACCTCTGGCCTGTACCCTAGTTCTTATATGCATATATAAACCAATCTTTAAAAAAAAAGCAGGTCCAATCATTCTTAAAAATCGGCATTTGCAGTCTCCTGCTATACTATCTTTAGCTTCCATTGTATTTGCTCTTCTAGAACACCACTCTCACACTCCGAGATTTAGCACCCCTAAGAGCCCCTCTTTTACTAACCTCTTGACCTCCTACCCAACTTTCTAGTACCAACCACTGAGTGGATCACCATGGGCTTTCTACTACAAACGGTGAGATTTCAACATCTCGGGCAGGCTCCTGCACAAGGCGCTGGTTACCTAACGGCCGGTGGAGTCGCCTTACTAACCACAAAGAACACCTCTGCTGTGTTCACCGAGATAATACTGGGCCCTGTTCCAAGCCATCTGCACAGACAACACAAACTCACGGCCAACAACAACCCTACGGAATGGCACACTAACTATCCGTGCTGCAGAGAAGGTGAGGCGTGGACTGGAGGGGTGACTGCCCGGGTTCCTGGCTGCTCCGAGGAAGAGCTGGGACACTGACCAGGCTCCAGAGTCCAGCATCTCAGCGACCCCTCTGCACTGCCTTCTCCTTCATCGAGCTCAGCCCTGGTGAGCCTGCACTGGTTTACACATCCTGGGTTCCTCCACCGGGCCCTCTTGCCATGGCTGGCCAGCCCAACAGGCTACAGAGATTTGAGCTTCACCTCTGCCACTTGCCAGGGCGCCACCCTCTTCCATGGTAAGACGTAACTGGAAGAATCCCACCCCCCAATGTAAGCTTCGAGCAGCCTGGCATTGGAGTGGCTGGGTCTGACTCCTTTACTTAACACCAGATCGAGGGCAACGCTTCCTTTACTCCTGACCCCGGGGCCAGGGCTTCGTTCCCACGAGGCTCACAAAGGTGAGGTCGGGGTGAGGGAACGCCGGCTAACCTGACACCGCCGGGGCCAGCTCTTTGGCACTGCAGCCTGGCAGATTGACGATGGCCGAGGCGGCTTCGTACACCACCATCTCGTGTTTGTTGCGCAAGCAGCTCTCGATGAAGTCAAAGAGTGGGCTGTCACGGCTGTGAAAGAGCAAGAAGCCAGAGCTGGGGACGGCCCAGCGGAGGGAGAACAAGGTGGTCGCCAGCCCACGGTGCCGAGGGCGGTTACCTGCCGTCCTCCTCCTCCAGCTGCTTGCTGGCCACCCGGATCATCATGCAGTAGGCGAAGGGCGACTTGAGGCCGTGGCGGGTGAACTTGCTGATCATCTTATTGACGGCCAGGCGGTCGTTCTTCCGCACATGGTACAGGAGCCCCAGCGCGTGATACTGGCGGGCAAGGACAGGCAAGTGAACGCAGGGCCGAAGCCACGTGCCCGGCACCACTGTCCCTCTCTGGCTTCAATTTGTCACTTCTCAGTGGGCACTGTGGTCACTACCTCACAGGGTGGCTGTGACAATGCCCCCGGCAGCCTATGCAACAAGCCGCATGAAGGCTGCAGTCCCTACCCTGCGCCAGTTTTGACAAAGGTTCGACAGGCACCGTGAGTACAGGTGTGAAAGGGGAATGGGGCATCGCGACACCACACAACGGGCGCAGACACACGAGCCTTGCAAACAGGAAGAGGAGGTAAGACTGGACCCTGAGCACAGACGTGCACGGTACGGTGTGGCGCCGGACACAAGCCCGTACCACAGTAAACTCTGGACGCTCCTGAGCCGCCCAGGGACTCGAGGCTGGCACCGGCCCAGACAGTTTGGAAGGGAAGGTGAACGGAGTTTCTTCCTCTTTCCTGTTTCCTTACCAGAGGGCACTAGGTGGTAAGACTAGGGAGCTACAGGTGCTTTCTACGTGGGAAGCTTCTCTCACCCTAGAAAGTGTTTCCAGGAGCCACAGTCAGGTTAAAGGGCGAGGAGGTAGCGACAAGATAAAACACACAAGGGGGCGCTGCAGGTACACCCCAGACAGGTCAGGTGTTCCTAGTGCCTCATTCCAGTCCCACAACTTTGCGAGGCAGAAACTGCGCTTCCCACTTTATATGAGGAAACGGAGAGTCAGACAGATAAAAGGAATTCTGGCAAGGTCATTGAAGAAGAGTCAGGTAAAGCGTTAGATAAAAATGCCACCAAAGTACTGTCACTCATCACTTACAAAGGCAGCAAAGGCCCTCTGCCTTCACAAACCCCCAAGCAGATCTCAGCTGGTTATCACCTCACTTGACTTTCAGCACCACCTTGTAAGCATCTCCAAGCTCTCCAATCAGGGACTTAGATTTTTTCTCCAACCACCCTGCCCAAACCTCCCCACAATCTTATGACAAAAGGACTAAATCTGTCTCCGGCGGGGGTGCCGCCAGGGTCTAGCTCTGTGGCGAGAGTCTGTGTTGACTGGCCAGTACCAGGCTGCCTGCCTGAGTCCTTTAAATATCACCACTCAGCTCACATCTCACCTGGACCATGATGTTATCGCTGGAGGCCGCCTCCTGGGCCTCATTCACCCAGCGCTTGACGACGTCAAAGCTGCATTTCAGCAGGTGCTGTGTGGGCAACAGGGCACGTTATGGGACAGGTAGGGTGCCCCCCATCACACCTCCTGGCCTACTCACAGTGGAGGGCCTAGACACAGCCCACGGCCTCTGCTGTCGCTCTGAGGGAGGGACGCTCACTCCCCCTGCTCTAGCTCAGACTCTTAACCATCTGTCTGGCACCCCCAGGGAGGGAGAGGTTGTCCAGTTACTCCCCTCCTGAGCCAACCCACAGTTCCCAGGGCTCTCTCCACTGGGATGATGGGTGGGAAGCTCCGATGTGGGGAAACACTTTGTTTTCTCTGTCAGAAAACAACTTTGGTATTTTCTTCAGTTTCCTAATTTCTGCCCACCCTGCACCTGCCACCAGGCCCGACTACATACCAGGGAAGACACCAGGGCAGAACTGGAGACACTGGGCACCTTGTCCACGATGGCCTGTTTCATGTAACGCTCAATCGCCTGCAGCATGGTGCTCTGTGGGGACATGGGGGTGGTGGAGGGGACCCCCGTCAGTCCTGAACAATCCTCAGGAGTGCTGAGGACAGGACGAAGAGGAGAATGGGGAGGAAGGGAGCACCTCACTCCTCGCCCCACTGGACTGGCGCAGGGCTTTGCCTGGGAGAGAGGAGCTGACCCAAAGCATGGAAGAGCTGGAGCCCCAGGGGAGCAGGGTTGGGCAGACTCACGTCTGTGATCTGGCAGAGGGCTCGCACAGCTGGGCCCCGGTAGTTGTCTTCTTTCCCAGTCATGTCCTTTGTCAGGCTGCAGGGGGAGAAGGCGCTGTGCACAGGCAGGAGACTGGCCTGCCCGCCCCGAGCCCGTGTCTCTGCTTGCGCTTCTCCAACTCCTGGGGGCCCCACCACCCCCCTGCCTGGACCATTAGTGAGTGTCCTTACTAGCATTCTCACTATTTTTACCATTTTAAGCCAAACTCCATACAGCAGTCAAAGGAGTTTTGTTTTGTTTTTGTTTTTTTTTAAAAGATTTATTTATTTGTTCATCCAGAACTGGGGTACAGGCCAAAGGCTCAGGGGCAGCGAGAGGATTCACCAGAGACAGAGTGGGGAGCAGAACAGGCAGATCGATGAAGTACACTGCTGAGGGGAGCAGCGGGCGGGCCAGGAGAGGTCTGCCGCGCCATGTGGTCACCTCCAGGGCAAATGGGAACCAAACTCATGCGGAAGTGGCTTTAGCTTCTCAGTGCTGTGCTTAACCCGCTGTGCCACCAGGGAGGGCCGGAGTTTTTTTTTTTTTTTTTTTTTTTTAACAGAATCCAAGGTTGACCAGGTAACTCCCCTGCGCTTACTAAAACATTTCTGAGGTTTCTACTGCCATTACCATCAGCTATAACCGTCACGAGTAATAGGGAGCCCCGCCACAGGCCCTGCTTTCTTCTCTCAGGCCTGCAGTTTCCCCAGCCTGGCACATCCCCACCCCTCACCTCAGTCCCACTATCGCTCATTCCCCCTTGGGGAAGCCAGGCAGTTCTGGGAGGTCTTTCCTGATTCAGATTCCATTTAGGTGCCTTCTGGTCTGTTCTCACTGTCAACCCTACTCCCATGACAAGCTGTGCTGCATTTGTGTTAATGGCCAGGCTCTGCCTGGTTATTCACTATAAATTCTGGGCCTGCACAGGCTGTATCTGTGGTTTCTTGCTGTGTCCTCAGAGCTACACACACGGGCTGACAGGCAGTCAATAAATATTTTATAAATGAATCTTCACAGGAATACATAGTACATTCTCCCCAAAGCTATGACCAGAAAGCAGACACCCAAACCCCAGTTCTAACGGCCAACGATATATCTTATTAGTCACCTCTACCCCTTAAATCAACCCTTCGGCCTAAAGCAGACACCGGTATTGAGTAAGCAAGTCTGTTCCTATACCTCTAGCGTTCTTTATGTTGACCCTCTTGGTACTCCCTGCCGTCCTTGTGAAAGTCCCAGGCTTACTTGGTTGACTAAGAGGAATCAAAGGAATAAAAGACTTGCGATTAAGCTAAGGCCAGAGAATTAAAAGGGGAAGCGCACCCTTTCGGAGCTCCACTGGACCGGCAGCAACAATGAAGAATGGCAGGGAGAAAAAGTGTCTGGCACTACGTCCAACGGAAGTCACCAAGGCTGGTGCACACGAGAAAACTGGCCTCGTGTCAACAGACTCTACAGAGGAGCCATCCACAGACCCGAGACTTGCCTGCTGGTGACAATGATGACATCCTCTGCAATGCTCGACATCTCCTTGATGGTCAGGTAGCACATCCGGCGGAGTGTGGGCTAGGAAAGAGACAGGAAGAGCCCTCTCACCCCTGGCTCAGAGTGACAGCCAGGGAGAGAAAAGAGTATCACAAAGGTAGTCCACATCGGCTGGAGGACCAGCTTCCCCAGCCCTCCCGCCGCCTGCCACAGCCGCTCTGCCTCGAGGAAGATGAGGCAGGGCACTTACGTCATTGGACTGAAAGAGTTTGGTCATAGCAAAGAAGGCCTCCGTTGCTTCAGTGGTCCCCAGGTGCTCCCCCTAATTTAATCAAGAAAGAATCTTCAGCATGGGACAGAGAGGTGAGAAGGCTCTTGTCACATGAGCCCAGGCCAGATCTTTAGCTACTACCGAGGCTATGTCTAAGCCACCCAGCAGAGTGAGCGCTGAGAGGAGCCAAAGCTAATGGACAGCCAGAAGGGCCACTAGCTCAGCCACTCATAAGCCGAAGCACTGCCCACCCCAAACTCCCCAGCAATGGCTTCCTCACTCTCAAGTCTCTCCTGGTTACCTGGTTTATGAGGTAAAGGATCTTGGTGAGGATGTGGGCACATTTCCGAGGGTTGATAGGAGTTTCGTTAAATACACGAGCCTGGGAAGAAGCAACCGAGGATATTAATATTTCTTCTATCAACTACCCTCTAGCACATTCAAGGTTTGAGAATTCCCAGGATAAATACAAACTTGCTTTTATCCAGAAAAGTAGTTTATTTCCTTAATTCAATTCCCTAAAGTCCTCAAGTCGTCCGTAAACAGTGGTTAAGAGACGTGCTGACCTTCTGAATCACATATACTTAGTAAATGTATGTTACTATCACCAGCAAAATTTCCCTTCCTTCCAGGAACAGATCTTTCTCTCCTATTGTTCTTTGAATTAGCATCTTGGATGTGTTTATTTTAATGGTGTTGATAATGAACATTTACAAAGGAAAAGAGAGGAGAGCAAATGACACTTGCCTCCTGGAGCACTGCACTCTTTTCAAGGTGCTGGAATGGATTGGAGCCTCCACCTGTAAATAGAAAACAGAGAAGACTAAGTAGAGTTTGTGAGCCTGGATTTCGGAAAGATGTCCCCATTGCTTAACTGGTCAACTTCAAACTCCTCAGGAATGCTAATGAAACTTCTACAGAAAAAAATCTGTCTATAGATCTGCCATTCTTCTGCAAGAGGACAGAAACTACTCACGCAGGCAATCTGCTGCCCTGAGACAGTAGTTGGGTGGCTTTCAATGTGTCTCACATTCATTTATGCGATGCATACTCAAGTAAGCCTCTACTATGGGAGAACCACAGTTTCCCCATGACTAGGTTTCCTTCAGAGTGAGTGTCACATTTTAAACTATAAGTGTAATACCCTTGACGTCTATCTCCTTCACTCCACCTGCGACTGATCCAGTATTCCCAGCTCAAGTACCAAGTATCTCGTCTACACCACTGCAATATCAGGACCCAGTACGCTACAAGACAGACAGAGCTCAATATATACTGAATAAATGAACGAGGAGACCGGATTCTCAGCTACCGGACACTTGTTCTACAGATCACACCCCAGTCAGAACATCACCAACCCAGCCAAAAGGTGGCACCGGGAAGGTAACCAAAGAGCATCGGTGCCCCTCCCGGACAGCCGGGGAAACTGAGGCCCAGAAAAGCAGCTGACCCACCAAGGTCAACCAGCGAATCAGGCAGAGTTTGCGATAGGGGGGCAGAGGGGCACGACTGGGCTCTCCGAAGCCTGCCACCGACCAGCTGTCGCCCTTCCCACGAGCCCCCGCCCCCCACTGGGGCTCAGCCTCGGATCACGACCGGAGCCCCGCAGGAAGGCTCCCCAGCAGGGCGCTGAGAGCTCGCCCCGGCTTTCCGTACGCCTACGCCCAGGCGTGGGCTACCTCACCCGATTCCTCATCCTTTTTATCAAATTTCTTCAGCATGGTGATGCCAGCAGGGCGCAACGCAGCGATCGGATGCTGGAAGGGCGCGGCTGGCTGCGGCGGACCCCCGGCGGTTCCGCACAGGTTACTTCCGGCCGGCCACGTCGCCCAGGGCTCTGCGCAGGCGCGCTCTGCGCCCCGCGCCTGCGCACACTCGGGCGGCTCCATGGCGTCCGGCGTTCGCCCAGTCCCGGCCGTGAGACGGGCGAGTGCTCACTGGTCAGTGATGAGCTGAAGCCTCAGACCCGATTGACCGGCGCCCCCGGCCTGTGACTTACCCCTCCTAGTCTGCACGACGGGAGGACTGGCAGTCCCTGCCTCCGTGCTTTTAGGCAGTGAGGAGGTGAGCCCCGCACGCTGGCCGCTGTGGACACCCAGTGCACGTACCTGTTGATATGTTATTGTCACCTTCCCTGGGAGGCCTCGCTAACCGTTCCTCACTCTCAGTCCCCGTCCCCAGTCTGATTTTTCTCCCTAGTTGGCATCACCATCTAGTGTTTGGTTTTATTCGGGTCGTGGGTAAGGTTAGCAATAGTAGGTGCTCAGTAATATATTTTTTTTAATTTATGAATACAAGAATTGAGGTGTAGGGCAGAGGTGGGGAGTGAGAGGTGAGGGTGTGAGAGGAGTCACCAGAGATGGAGTGGGAGCAGAACAGGGGGACCTACTAAGTACACTGCTGAGGGGAGCAGCGGGGCGAGATAGGAGAGGTCTGCTGGCTGGCCATGTTGGTCATTCGTTGGCTGGGGGTCGAACTTGGACCTCAGAGATGAGTGATATCATGATAGTGCTGAGACTTAACACCTACCCCACTGGGAGGTCCTCGGTAAATTCCTCTTGAGTGAATTAAAGCATAAAACTGCTTTATAATTCATATTTTCCTAGCTCCTATCACATCTACTCCTGGTGCAGATTGTTTTGTGCCCTTTTAACTTTCAGGATTCTACTGAAGTAGAGGATCAGCAGAGAAACCAATGTTGCTTTTTAAGTGCTTTGGATATTTATATCAAGCGCCTCCTTGATGTACCCAGGAAGAATGGGAAAGGGGAACGGAAATAATGCCCAGGATTTATCTAAGGGGGTACCTCCACCGGACACCCCCAAGGTAAGAACGGTGAGTCCCCAGTGACAAAATGCTGCCACAGAGAGGGTCCGGATTGTGGAGCCCTGCGAAGCTTGCCACCAGCTCAAAGCTCAAAGGCGAGGGTCTGCCCGAAGCCCCAGAGGGGAGAAGGAGGCCTGGTGAGCCGAACCCTGGTGAGCGGCGAGGTGGCTGGGGGTTGAGGCATATGCCTGATGGTGCAGATGGAGGAGGGGGTGACAGGCTAGCTGGTGAAGGGGTGGCGGTGAGGGCACCAACCTTTAAAGGTCTCACGTTGTGGAGGCTGAGCCGTGGTCTAGGCAGAAAGGGGGAAGAGAACAGAACCTTCCTTGTGCTAAGGGGAGAGTGCCCGGAGCTAGAAAGATGTTCAGAATCTTTAACCCCTAACCTCATCCCTTATTTGGAGACGATCGACCAAAAGAAGAAAATTAAAGCTTCCCACTGCAGCAGGGAATTAAATGGAAATATCCTAAATGTTGAACAATAAAAGTACATCCACTTGAAGAAATATTCTGCATGCATCCTTAAACTCGTTCTGATGATCTGGGAGCCAATGTGTAAACTTTTTATAAGTGAAACAAGCAAAGAGAAAAACAGGGTCTAATAGTTTTCATAATTAAGGTGAAATAAATATGCCTCATGGCTAAAACCAGAAAAGGACACCAGAGATTAGGTTGCTGTATTAAAAATGGTGAAATACAGAGGAATTGTGTTGGATTAAATCTTTCATTCTGTATTAAGTATATAAAGCTATATACCAAGGGCAGTATTTTTTACAATGTCTTTCTAAGTATGAGAATTATGGTTTGTGATCAGCTCTAAATATGGATTTATATGTAATTGAAAGTCTTTATCAGGACCTCTCTGGTGGTGCAAGGGGTTAAAGTGCAGCATTACAAAGCTATCGGCAGCCACTGCAGCATGAGTTCTGTCCCCAGCCTGGGAGCTGACCCACAGGGCACAGCAGAGCTCTCCTGTCTCGCCCCGCTGCTCCCCTCAGCAGTATATTTCAGTACATCTACCTGTTCTGCTCCCCACTCTGGTGAATGCTCGCACTCCCTGAACCTCTGGCCTGTACCCGAGTTCTTGTATGCATCAATAAATCAACCTTTCAAAAAAGATTTATCATTAAATATATATATATTCTTCATGAAGATGAAGCCAGTATGTACCATTACCATGGTTATAGCTGCTGCTTCTGCTTTTCACACTGGTAACCCTTAAACTGCCACAAGTTCTTATCCTGAAGATGTGAAAAGGAAGTCCCAGGCTTTTTAGATAGTAAGCAAGGAGAAGCAAACTTTGTTCAAGAAAGTAAGCAAAAGTTTATTTAGAGGAAAAAGAACGAAAGCGAGGACTCCCAGGTGTGCTGTACCTGGGCGGGGCAAAGGAGCCTGATGGGCCTATCTCTAGGAGCTATTTCAGCCTTGTCTCCTCATTCTAAAATGTCATCGTCCTGTTTTGTGATTGGCTCTTTCTTCTAGTGGCTGTACTGATCCAGGCAGCTGTGCCCAATTTCTTAGCTCTTAGCATTTACCTCTACTGCTCCATTTACCTCTACTGCTCCAGTCCAAGGTGTCTTAAACTTTACTACCCCACTAGCCCTCCTGGGTGTCTCACCTCATCTCTGTAGTGTGTTTGGTTAGCTCTTTAATGCTTCAGAAGTCCTGCCTGCACTGTCCCTGAAGCTGCCTAATTAGCCCTAATTTGCCCTGGCAATCAGCATTGCTAGGTCCGTTGTAGAAACAGACTATTAAAAGCACAAGAGAATCTAGGGAAATATTAATGAGTTTGGTAGATTATATCCTGGTTTTGACATTGTCCATCGTGGGTATTTTATCGAAATGGTATCATGCAATGCATGGTTGCTTGTAAACCTGTGTACCATTATATGGGTTGTCTTTTCACTTTCTGGATAGCGCCCTTTAACTTTGGTGAGGTCCGATTTGTTTTTTTTCTTTCCTAACTTCGACTTTTGGTATCCTGAAAAGAAGTCATTGTTTACCCAAAATAATGAAGATTTATCCCTATATTTTCTTCCACGATATTTATAGTTTTATCTTTCAGATTTAAGTTGTTGGTCTGACTTTTGAGTTAGTTTTTGTAAATGGTGTGAGGTAGATTTATATTTGCATAATCAAAGAACTGGGGTACAGACCTGAGATGTGTTTTGGGGGGTGAGAGGACTCACCAGAGACAGAGTGAGGAGCAGAACAGATGGACTGACTGAAATACACTGCTGAGGGGAGCAGCTGGCAAGACCAAGAGAGGTCTGCTGCGCCATGTGGGTCAGCTCCCTGGCCAGGGATTGAGTTTCTGTTGCGGTGGCTACTGATAGCTTCCTAGTGCTGAGACTTAACCCTTTATGCCACGAGGGAGGCCCCAACATCATTCTTTTTTGTGTGCTCGTTCAGTTTTACCAGCCCCACTTGTTAGAAGGACTGTCTTTCCCCTATTGAATTATGCTGTCACCATTGTCAAAAACCACTTGGCTATAAATGTACAGGTTCATTTCTGGATTCTCAATTCTATTCCACTGATCTGTATAGAATACTTTTGCTTTAGAGAAAATAGGCAGAGAGTACAGAAGATATCTGTATTAGTTCTTTTTTATCTTTTGTCAGTTCACAGCACTTGTAATATAAGTGAGGAATCTACTTGAGCCACTTAGTTCCTAAGGGGTGGGGGATGGGGATCCTAGGGCAGAAGGTGTAGGCATCTTTCACTGAGGCCCTGAAATTGAGCAAGAGATCATGGGAAAGAGAAAAGCCTCTTTGGGCTTCCCAAGTAAGTGAGCGCACCATGAGGAGCCCAAACCACAGCCCAGAGGACACACATGGAATAAAGCAGATCTTTCTCCTTGGTGGAGCAATCTCAGGTATCTTCCCAGGGTTAACCACCCTGTATGAGTTCCTCCCAGGCCAGGAAGGGCATCTGTCTTTCTATTGTCAACAATCCTAGTCTCGGTATGCACAATGCATGCTACCCCTGGCAAACTGCTGACTACAGATTCCTGTAAGTCTCCAGACCAGACACAGTGAGACTGGCAGTAGATGGAGAAAATAAGAGTGGAAGCCAAAAAGCCACAGACTGTGGCTACTTGGTTAACATTGGTGGCCTCCAGGCTGAGCGCAGGCTGACCTGCTGGTCAATCTACACTGCCTGTAGGCTGAACCTGTCAGCCTGCTGGTCGACCACCCCAACCTCCAGGCTGAACTGGATCCCACCTGCTGGTCAACCCCCCAGCTCCCTTCTTAGTGTGGCAGCCTTCTGGTTGACTTTCCCTGCTTGCAGGCTGAGCTGGGGCTGGTCTGCTGGTTGACTTTCCCTGCCTGCAGGCTGAGCTGGGGCTGGTCTGCTGGTCGACCACCCTTGCCTGCAGGCTGAGCCAAGGCCTAAGTGCTGGATCATCTCCCCAGCCTCCAATCTGATCTGAGGCCAGCCTGCTAATCTGTCTTCCCAGCCTGTAGGCTGAGCCTCAGCTCAGCTGGCACAGGCCTGCATTTCAACCTCCCCAGTTCCGGGCCAAGCTGGAGCCAGTCTGCTGGTCACTGTTCTGTGTCAGCTGAGTCCCCTGCAACAAGTTTATTGAGTGCCATTCCTCATGATGACCCAGCAGCATCCTGCCCTTTTTTGAGGGGCTTCTGTTTCATTTAGGTTCCAGGACCCAACTGCTGTTTGTATTTTGGGCCCTCCAGCTGAGCCTGAGTGGGCCTTCTGGTACCCCTGGCAGCCTCCCAGCTGAGCTGTTGCCAGCTTGCTGCTCAACTTTACCAGCCTCCAGGCTGAACTGGGCTGGCCTGCTGGTGCAAGATCCCGTCTGCAGGCTGATCCCTGGGCCACAAGCTCATTGAGCCTGCACCATCCTGCTGTTTTGAGTAATTTTTGCTTCACTTTGCTTCCAGGACCCTCCTGCTTTGTTTTTTTTTTTTGTTTGTTTTGTTTTTTCCTCCTGCTTTGTTTTTTAAAGATTATTTATGCATACATA